CTAAGTAGTTCCAGCGTTGACCGCTCGATAGCGCCGCTTACCCGCGCTAGAAAAAATCAGTCCGGGAACTTTCCGGACAAACTGTGTATCTTTTTAGAATGCATATACAGAACCGATGGAGGAACGGTGTTTCTGTGTTCGTCCGACACACGTTCTAACAAGTTCGAGATACGTAGAAAACGAGGTCGAGATACGGAAATATCGATTGACTTTGTATGCACGTGGTATGTAGTAAACGCAAGTTTCGTTATTGACAATGAGGTTTTGCTGATTACGCGCGTCGAAAATGGCGAATCTGGCACGAACAGGATGCTGTTAGGTGTGCTAATCAAAAGCAATGAGATTAACTCAAAGATTATTTGTCCTTTGCAGAACAGAAGTCCACACGGAATAACGCTGTAGATAAAGGAGCGGATGATTTGGCGGAAGGAACAACGTTCTATGAATATTCGTTTCTTTAATCGAGTGTTATTATCAGAATTATACAACGTTCTAGATCTCGCGTGATAACATAAACGTTGCTCTTTCTTCGCGTGTCGGAACTTGAGTAAGGCTAATAGTTAACTAATTCGGTAGAAAGCTTTTTCATCGCATTTCTCTCGCAAACTCACTCGACACAACGTCGGAGACACCTCTCCCTCTCTTTCCCTCTCTCTCTCTTTTTTATTCGCAATTGCACGTCGATTGTCCGCGAAGATTTTAGCGAGTATAATAATTTTGACAAAATAAAAATTTGTACCTAATAAAAAGTTCATGCTTTCGTGCGATTCCGTCATTTTGTCGCTACCAAGAAAACACTCCGATCGAATGTCAAACAATCATATTCGTATTCGTCGAGATATCGATTTCTCATTTAGCGTTTGATCGACAAATTAACGTAACGACTTACCTCTCTCTGTCTCTCTTTCTCTCTCTCTCTCTCTCACAAACACGCACACGCACACGCACACACACGCACGCGCACACACACACACACACACACAGAAACACGCACACTCTCTCTCTCTCTCTCTCTCTCTCTATCTATCTATCTATCTATCTATCTATCTATCTCTTTCTCACAACTTAAAAGTAATTATACGTATTACCTTCGGGATATTACGCTAAAGCTATATTCCGTTAATTAATTAAGGCGAGTAGCGTGGTCGGTTTAAATATGATTTTCCCTTGACGATCTTCGCTCGCGAGCACTCGCTTCGCGTCGTCTTCGTATGCGCATGATGAAGTCTAACAATTGTAAACTTGAAAGTTTCAATCGCGAGATTTACGGCGTATATGTGAGGTTTTCCGCGTCGAATTAAGTTTGTTTTTATTTTTCTTATCCTGCAAGAAATACTAGAGAGAGTTGTTACAACAATAAAATTAAACATTTTATAATAAACAAAAGTGTAAGTCGCACTCGGTTCCGAAGATCGTCTGAAAAGTATATTACCATATTTGTTTTATATTTCGAAAAATTTGTCCGCGCGCGAGGTTGTTTGACATATATCACTGTATCGAGCAGGCCTTCTTGGACTCTATCCTTCCTGTTCTAAGCGTGATTCTGGATCCTGGTGTATTGTTCTCGTTTCCGGCCGCGAGCGCGCACGTCTTCGTTCTCATGATCATCAAGTCCGTCCTGATGCTGGGACGGCGCACGTTCGGCGCCACGACGCCGCAAGCGTCGCTCAGACGACGTTTTATACTGAGAGTGGCTTTATGCCGCGGCTGAAAAACAAAAGCGTTCGCTTTTTGAGGTCTTTCAGCTGTTTCCCACGGTACATCACGAAAAGGTAACCCTTTGTTTAATCGATCGTGTGACGCGATTTTGAGGAAACAATACTTCTCGCGCTTTGTCAGTTTTAATCGGATTTGCCGGGCTTTACTTACAAGAGCGGTTGATCAGATCTCGAAAGAAATACTTTGTCACCAATTATACTCGAAACGTCCGTTAAACGTACCTGCGACGGCGGTAACATAGGCGAGCCGAAACTGATCGGCACTTTTCTATGATGATTCGGTGCCATCTCCAGAGGTAGACCCGCCACCACGAATAACTGATAAAACAGTTCGTCCACGTGGTAGTTCCGCTTCGCAGAAGCTTCCACAAAAACGCAGCACTCGTCCTGACTCACGCAATATTGCTCAGCTTCTTCTACCGTAACCGTCCTGTAAAACAAAAAGAACAAAAGACTCTACGTTAAAATGATTATGCGACTCAAGGATGCGATAACGAGACGATATTATTCATAAAAAAAAAAACGGGAGCGAAAGAATAGAAAAAACATACTTCACGTCTTTATCACATTTGTTCCCCACGATGACCATAGGGACCTTCAGACTGTAGTGGCTCCTCCTGCTCTTCATGGCACTTTGAGTCGCGCTCACTTTGGTCTCGAGAATCGCCTCTCTCAGTCTGATGGCTTCCTCGAAGGACTCCCGGCAATCCATGCTGAACACCACGACGAAGAGGTCCCCTGCGAAATCGTGTAACACGCTTGTTCGAACGATTCGTCGTACACAAATGTCAACGTTGTACATAATCGGATATTTTTTTCGCGCTAACGCAAACTTCGTCGGATATTCACATTGTGTGAATGAATGTGAAAAAATCCGAACGCGCAATTTTGGAATTTTTGAGTACATCGGTTATTTTTTCTCGTGAAAGAATTATTTTTTACGCAACGAAACAAAATTGGAAATTTTCGAGTTTCTTTCGTGCGCCATCTGCTATATCATCATATGTTACGCGATATTAACCGCAATTATTTCGAACTTTACATACAGACTAATTATAACGATCACGCGAGTCACATGTACGTTATGAATTATGAATATTTATTCCGAGAGCGGATTTATTTCTCTACGGGGCGACACACGAGGGTGCGGCTAGTGTATTTATAAATTTACCCTAACGATGCGAGAGAATGGCGTAACGATTCCGGGGTCTCGTCGCGTCCACGAGCGTGCTGTTACCGCTTGTTTCCAACAAAAACGCGTCGTGAACAAAAGGGCCAGCAGGATCAACTAGCTGCTCTCGTGGACGAACAAAAAGCTCGTCCAATAGGAAACTCGGTGAAGCCGAGTGTATGGAACGTACGCTTGGTAATAACGTTGCTTTGCCAACACGCCGCTTCACTTGGTTTTATTATCGCATATTCTCTCGCTAAAAGATGCCGCTAAGTGTCTCATATAATAATAACGCGCCGTCGTTAACCGCGTGTTAGTGGCGCGGGGTCTGAAAAGACTTCATCTCGCATTCTCATTGTGCCATCAAAAATTTAATATCATTAACACGTTATTATTCGGAATTTAATATAATCATAATTAAATTTATGTACATGTAATTATAGATTATTACGAATTTAATTCACTTTATACTTATTTATCTTTTTTTTTTATCCGGGGGGTTTATTAGAGTTTTTATATTCTTCCGTTCGTTTTTTCATCTCGTAATACAAAGAGACGCAACTCGGTCCTTAACTCAGCAAATTGTAAGCGCGAGAAAATAAGCGCTTCTTTAGCAAGATAAATCCATTACATAATCAAATCACGAAGTTATATAACAAACTATCACTATTGCTGCAAAAAAAGAAAAAAAGAGAGAACTGTAATCTTTCACTCTATTTAATTTCACGAGATTTCTCTCCTCATTGGAAAATTCACTGAAATTATTCTTCTAACAAGTACAATTAAAGATGGATTAATTTTATTGATTGGCTAATTTATTTAGTTGCGCTTCTCAAGTTGCGCTTGTCGCGCTATTGGGAAACTTCTTAAGCACGACCTCCATATCTCGAAAATCTTATATGCGGCTACCACATGCGGTTGAACGTTGCAAGACATTTTATTCTCGTGGCACACGCCGACAAGCCCGATATTGTCCTTGCTACGAGATGAAAATATATGTATGTCAGCCATTATGCGGCAAAGTTCGTGTGTCTTTGGTGTCGAAAGGAATTCTCTCTTCTCGCAGCGCGCCGGCGCGCGCGCGCGCTCCAACTCCGGAGGCTCATTGTCTTGGAATCGGGGTCGCATTTATTCGTGTTCACAGGCGTGTTCCGACGAAGGATTCGTAACTCACAAATCTTTTCACGTTCTTTGTAAATTTGAAGTAAATAACCACGTACGCGCGCGTGAGAGCGAAGTTTATCGCCACTCATATGTAACATTAAACGGCCAAATTAGTATTATTTTCCTCTTTTTTTAAAGATATTTTTTATTTATATATATGTAATTTTATAAATATTAAGAAATTTGTAACGTATCTATAAATCTATAAATCTAGTCAAGTGACGAAACTATAACGTATTATTTGTGTGATCAATCACAATGGCGCTATATTGTTTACTGCGATTATTTTATCGCTCGTGTATAAAGTTTATTTTGCAGAATTTTTCTGGCAATCGGTCGAGCCATGAATTATTAAGAGATCTTCATAGTTTTGAAAAAAATGCGAACGGGAAAACGTGGATTCCCGCTGAATATGTGGAATTTCTGCACGAGCGTCGAACGGAATACAAAAACTAAACACCGCCACGAGATGAAATTCCCATTGACGTGACTCTCTTGATTTTCGCACGCACGAAACGGTAATTTAAAAAATTCCTCGGATTTACGTGTTTAATTTTATCGTGTTCTTTTACGTGAGGTCACTCTATGTGTAACACGCGACGATACATCGCAGTTGCAGAGCATAGAGCGTGTAGAGCAATAACTCGTGAGAGAGAGACGAGTATCGGTACGCGCGCGCGTGACACAATTTGTGCAGCTGCGCTCATCGCGGCAAATTGGAATATTTAGGTCCCAAGAGCAAATAGCAAATAGTTGCTATTGAAAATTTTCAATTGTAGTAATTTTCAAGACCAACACTGTATATTTTTATATGATGATCACGTACATTCTCATTTGAAATACTGATAAGATATTTGTGTGTGTTGTGGATATTTATTTACGTGTTATATTATTACAAATCTCTGAGCAATATAATAAAATATTTTAATACACGTATATATGATTTGTCGCATGAAAGTGTGCAAATTCGCTATTATCTTGCGCTCGTCTTGGGAATTGCGCGCTTGTGTGTACAAATCACGACTTGGATTACATTTCTGAACCGATCGACGTGACGTTTGCACTATGTATGTATATATACGTTCGAGCGTAAATATGTATTTCCATCTGGGAAGGTCCGTATCTTCCTACTTGACAAGATGCAATTGTTGCGCGTTCGACGACAGTGCGACGCGATATCAGAGATTATCAGGCACAGGTGGCTGACGTGACGAGGAACGAGAGAGAGTGTGTATCTACAAAATCAGTGGAGCACAAGCGATAACCGTGCGCCGTAGAAACTGTAACGAAAGAAGGGTGGGAATGGACCGGACTGAGTTATCGAGCGAACGTACCATTCGCACACGTTCCCCCAAGTTTTCTCGAGACACAACGTCCTTCGATACTATCGGCCACTTATCACCATCTTAACCCTCGGCCCCTCTCAATTCTCGACTCGTTGAGCAACTCTCTTTTCGCCTAACGTCGAATATTTCGATAATCGCTGACGCTATGCTACTGCGTGTATATACACATGCGATATATCCACATGATATACAATAGTTTAAAAACTGAATAAGTATACATGTAAAGAGTTAATTGAACACAATAATTAATTAGAAATATATTTCTTCTTTTATCAAAACAAATTAATACGAAAAAAGTAAGAAATGTTAAAAGTTCTTTTTTTTTTGTTTTCAAATAATATGTAACATTATCTTTTAACAAAATCCAATAAAATACACGTATATAAACAAGAAAAATATAAATACATAAAATAGTAAAAAAGAGAGTGCTTTTAACGGATTGCTTTGACTTTGATTCTTAATTCATAAAAAATCATGTTTATTTTAGTGCGAATGCATAAGATCCGGTTGGAGTTTTGCAAAATTAATTGAAATCCGTGTAATGTACAACGTGCGGTACTCTACATGTAACCTTTGTAATATTTGAACCTCGCTTGAAATTTCCGTAACGGCTGATACAGCCGACGATATCACCTCGGGCAGCTTCTCTCGAACTTTTCCCGTATGAGCAACACATAAACCATAGTTGTTGGAAATATGAGATTTTACAAAAGTTGTAAAACTTCTCGAAACGCGAGTTCGAAAACAATTGATGGCGTCTTCTGGTTCTTATTTTTTTTTTCACACGCTACATCAAAGAACAAAAGTTTCTTCGACGATTGTGAGCGTATCAAAATTAATGCACACTTTTCGCAAGCGACGTCCCGTAATAAACGTCTCGCGCGCGCGCGCGCAAAACATTGTCTTTCTTTAAACGTTGAAAGATTTACGAAACTTTACTCTCAAGCGGCAAGAAAGCGTGCGGGTCTTTATGATTTTTCATCCAACGCAGACTGACGTGTTCTCATACAAAATGCATTGCGTCGTATTTTGCGTCAACGTCCCTCGTCCAACATTCTGAAAACACATATTTTTCTATCCGCTCGCAAAAGATTTAAATATCCATTAATTTTTCTCGAGCCAATATCCGTCACGATAAAAGCAAAATATCATCAGAGGTTAGGTTTTAATATCGGCAGAAATATACACTCGTTTACTTTGCTCGTATACTTCGTTTATATCCTTGAAACGCGGGTGTCTTCTTGAAACGGAGCAACGCATTTCTCCGGAGAGTATAAGCCAATGGACTTACCCGTCAGGAAGGACAATCGTCGCATCGCCGGAAACGGATGGTTTCCGCTTGTATCCAAGAGATCAAGCTGGTGAACTTCGCCTCTGATCCTGTAGAGTTTTCTGTGAAAATCTTCTATCGTCGGCGTGTAGCTCTCCTCAAATTTGTTGGACAGAAATCTGAAACGTAAGCGTCAGGACGATTTTATCCGCATCAGCACTCTGCCATTCTAACTCTACGTTGTTCGATCTTTTTTTGCTTTCCGTTATCTTTTTGCGTTATCTCTCTCCCGTGATTAAAATTTTCAATTCGATCTTCGCGTATCTTCGTATCGCATAATTAATTTTAACAGAATATCTCGAGTTATTTTAAAAATATTTTTTGCATTTCAAACGTTTTAATGAATTTCAAAATAAAATGTAATTTTTCCTTTTGTTATTAAAGCGAATTTATTCTCTAGAAACAAAGTACGGGTCTGTGATAAGCCCGAATGATAAACATGAAGTTAATTGAGGCTCCGAGTATTTGAAAAGCCAAATTTGCAGACAAGACTAAGCGACTATCTTGCTTTTTGGAATGAGCTCGTTAGTTGTTACTATCTGTGCGCAAGTGGGCGAAAAATTCGCTTAGCATGGCGCGGGTTTGCGTAATTGCGGCCAATTTATGATAGTCGACATCGAATTGCGGCCGAGCCGCAAATTTTCGACGTTTCACAGAAACGCGAGATATTCCTCGGTATGCAATATCCGTCATCGAACGGTGAATTTTATCGTCTGTTTAATAACTTTGAAACTGTTCTCTGTTGTTATTCTTTGATAAACACACACACGATATTAATTCGCGGTTTTTTTTTTCAATTGAAGAGAGATTTCCGGAAACACACACACGACAGTGTCACTTTTTCTCGATATCCTATCGCACGGTGGCAGCATTCGTGTAACAATGGCATACGCAATAATGCGGCACATATTGGTGGGTCGGCAGCACGGTTCAAAGATTAATTGAATCACATTGTTTCGCACTATTAGTAATCGATCTGTGAAAGGGAGCACAACGGACGGAATTTAGAAAACCGAACGCACGGAAACGTACGGAATACCGAAACATAGCAATACGCACGTCGGATCGATCGGATAAATTCTTACCGTGTGTGTATAAGAACACATTTGAAATATATTTCCCTCTCTAAGTTGTAAATAAAAAAAAATATGCAAAAACATGCATCTACATTGAAAAGTACTGAAAATAACAGTTTTGCTGGAATAACAAAAAGATTAGTTGTTGTTTGAACAGTAAACAAAATTTGCTAAGCCTGTTGAATTGTTTGGATTTACAAACAAAACGTTTTGTTGACGAGTAGCAAACGTCGATAAATATGCATTTTAGGTCACACCTCACCGATTTCGATGCGCTTTGAATATGTTGTAGAGCAGGTCATACTGAGTAATTATATAAAAAAATTTCATGGGGAACGGCCTTGGTTTCGGAGATATATGGCGATTTAAAGTTTCTAAACAATACTACTATTTTTACGTTCTTTTTGTTCGTGTTGTAAACGTGCAGAGCGGCTTTGCCTCTCCGCAGAGAGAGTGGCTACCCTTCCTCTGCTCTTCCTTTCGAAAAACCATGTACACACTTTCGACATGAAGCGACATTTAATTGGATCCTATGCAATGACGAAATAAGAAAAAATAAGGAACTTATATACAAATATTTTATTTATTTTTTTTTTTTTATATTAAAGGCGAATGATGTTTTGTTATAACTTGTATACATTTGGTATGCATAAAAAACATACGTTCGCGATTTAAATTTACATCTGCTCCACACCGTAGATATTTAATATACATGTCCATGAATAACTTTACGATCAACAAGAAAATCTATTAATTTCTCGCTGTTTTCAACAAGACTTGAATAGAAATTCGTGTAGTCGCATGTTGAAAGCTATTAACAAACTGCGAGAAATAGTAAAACGAATTCTTGATTAATTGTGAATTACCTTGTAACTTTGTTTACATTTCTCACAACACATCAGTCCGACATACACAAACTTCACTGTTCGTAATATCAGCTTACAATATTTAGTGTAAAGTATTAAAATTCTGAAACTTCAAATTGTCATACCTCTCTCTTAAACCAAGGCCGCCCCCCGCGAAATGTTTTTAGATACTTACTCAGTATGACCTGCTCTACAACATATCTGAAGCTCAACAAAATCGGTGAGGTGTGACCTAAAATGTATATTTATAACCGCAAATTCTTTCTCCGTTATCCATATAATATATCCAAAACTTTGTTTTTCATGTAGAGAAGCAAAATATACAAAGAATGTTTCCAAACTGTCAGAACTATCAATATATCTTTTTTTTTGTCAAAATAATGATAAAATAAGAAATAAAAACAGAAACAAAGGACAAAACAGGAGTTTTTTACATGCTGAATTTGCTCATTTCTCGTAGTTACCGTGCTACAATGGCAGTCTTTCCAACGCGGGCACTGCCGAGCATGACCAGGCGATAGCAGTTACGTGGCGGCGGTTTGCAGGCGTCTTCCAGTGACGAAGTGGATGCAGGACTCGGGCTGACGGGTATAGCGAGCATTCCATCTTCCGGACCCGAAGGACCTTGGCCTTCCACCAGCTCCGGCTCCGCTTGCGCTCCTCGTCGACCGCGAGCGGTAATTCGTTGCTCGACAACGGTCTCGTCGGCTGCACTTCCGCTTCTGCAGAGCCTCTGCACGCAGCACAGAAGTCGGCCGCACGCCTCCAGCTGCGGAAAGGAAGTTACACGTTATGTCTCTGAAAGCAGTATCAACTCTTAACTCCCTTTGACATTTTTGACACACCCATGTATAGCGTGCTAAATTTCAAACTATTCGCATAGATTTCAGTCGGTTCAATTAGCCGAATTGAAGTAAAGATCACTTCACGCGCAACACATGCCGCACGCATTATGTAAGAAACAAATATATACAGTGTTCGAAAAATCTCCCGCAATACTTCGGGAAGTGATTGGAGATCCAAAAAGAAGGAAAAAAGTTATATAAACATAGGTCCGGAAATAAGTCGTTTCCGAGTTATAGCCACTTTTGTGTTTAAAAATCATAATTTTTCTCATAATTTATTTTATTGTGTTTTAACAGAAATAACTTCATTTCGGAATATTTTGATAGAAGAATAAGAACCTGAATTCGTGCTGAAGGTGGTCATTTTGAACATCATATCTAATTCGATTTAAATGTCTGTTTATGTTCAAAATGATCAACTTCAGCATGAATGCAGATTCTTATTCTTTTATCAAAATAGTCCAAAATGAAGTTATTTCTGTTAAAACAAAACATTTATTTATGTTATACAATAAAATAAATTATGATTATGAAAATTATGTTATACAATATTATTATGTTATACGATATTTTTATGTTATACAATAAAATACAATAAAATAAATTATGATTATGAAAACAATTACAATTTTTAAACATAAAAGTGGCTATAACTCGGAAACGACCTATTTCCGGACCTATGTTTATATAACTTTTTTCTTTTTTTTTGGACTCCTAATTACTTCCCGAAGTATTGCGAGCGATTTTCCGGACACCTTGTATATATATATACATATATATTTATTTATTTATTTTCCATTCTATATCTGACACAATAATTAAAGATGTTTTGCACGTGAATGCAAACAAATATAAACGAATGGTACTTTTGAAACAATATTTTCATAATAAGGCCTACATAATAAAATAAATTATGATTATGAAAAATAAATACTATCGTGTTTATATGTCGGGTTTTCAATATAAACTTTGACGATTTATTTGCATTCATATAAGATTTCAACTATATACAGTTTTTGTTAACGTGAAACAGTACCAAATCGCGGATTTCAAAAAAATTTATAGATTTCACAAAGAACATTTGAAAATATTTGCGTGACTTTATAAGTTTACACACAGAGCATTCCGTTATCTTCCGCACAGATTTGCACACTTCAACAAACGATCTTATCTATTCATGGGCTTGAATTTTTCAATAAATAAACGGATGACAATCATGTCTACACATGCACATACACAATATCGTATCTCTCCAAGAAATCGCGAACATACAAGAATGTGATATGCGAGATACGAGCATGAATACCAAATTGAAGTTTCTTGAATTGATTCGTAGTGGAAGATTTTCAGCAAAAATACTTTTATTAAAGTAGAAAAATAAAGATGAGATGTTTAGACACGTCCCACAGACCTCTGCTTGAATATTTTCCTTACTTTTACCCATATTACAATATGCGGAAGTTGCTGGGCGACTACAATATTGGAAAAAAATTATATTTTTCCATAAGTTAAGAGATTATGAAACACGACTGGAAAAAAAAAAAATTATAATGCTGTCAGCATTTTGTTTTCAAAGTATATATGTATACATAGTAACTTTAATTGTATAATTTCCGAATAAATTACTGTGTATGTGTAGCGCGAACTCGGCATACATCATATATTTAACAAAGTTTAACGAAAATGCTTGTTACGTTACGAAAACAGTTTCGAAGAAACGTGTTAACTATAAACGTCGTGAAACTTTGCACGAGAATGTACGTAGGTAGGTGTCACGGGAATTGGAGGGTTGAGGTCTTTTAACTATGTTCTCGAATATCTTACAATAAAATTTAAAATACTTCACGTACCTTTGTATTCTTATACGTGTGCAAACTAAAATACAATTTCAGATCTTATGTAATTCTTCACTCATTTGGAAAACAATTGCTCTGTGTAATTTGATTCGGTAATTTAGATGCAATTTAATAAAACAAAAAAAAGAGAAAAAAAAGATCATATCGTGTAATTTGTAACTTTTTCTTGAAAATAATACCTGCCTTAAAAAATAGTTAATAAACATTAGTTAATAAACATTAATATACATATAAAGAATATTTTATTTTACTGACTATACAAATTTTACAGGATTATGTGTTTTAACACAATTGCAATTGGTTTAAAATAGTTTTTAACTAATCATTTATAGAAATGGCACATAATATAATATACTAACATAGAAATGTTTCTTAAAGAGAATATCCCGACCATATTAATGTACAGAATAATATAAGCGTCAAGCAAAGCTTTTATTCGCTTAAGGTGCAGGGATTCTGTTTTCGATAAACTATACCATTCTTTTTCGTATTCATCTTCAGAAAGTTTCTTCTTCGCATTGGATATTCGCTTACGCGGCTTAGTTGCAGAAACCAGCAGGATAATAGACCCGCGCGCGTTATATCCTTACCATAAACCTGTGCATTTCTAACTTCGACGCGATGAATAGAGAACTAATGATTGCAACGAAGCTAGTCCTGAATATCGTTTCACACCGCTTTAGAGACACGAGTTATAGATGTTTATTAGAAAGAGAACAAAATATTAGTATTATTTCGTACAAGTGACAATGTGTCACTTGAAATTAAAAGTCGAGCAACAAAGATTTTAATGTATAAGCTATTAAATTTTTAAGGACGTAATTTTTTTACATTTATTCATAAATATTAAAAAAATTTTCAAATATATTTCTCTTTGCTCACACGCGTATATAAATATTTAAAACCAGGAAACCCTTCTCGTTATTATGCTAATCGCGATGCTATTATATAATCTCTTTTATATACATTTATATATACAGTTTTTTAATAAACTGAATAAATAAAAAAGCTCACGGAAAGAACGATATAGTTGTTGATCGAGCAAGAATCTTCGTGTTTCGTTGAAAAATACATGAAGTAAATTTGATGTTCGTCGTCGCTGCTCGGCAAATTTACCTCTGGACAAGGAAGCATGCCGTTTCAAGACTACTGCAGTGTGACGGTTTCGAGACGGTACATGTATTTACTACAAGCAAGAGGTGAGGCTTTATAAATATTTAAATAGGACACCTGATGCCCGCACACAACCAAAGGTGTGGGCCGCAATTATTAAAGCTTCCATTAAAACACGCCGCACTTATTGCGCCTTTTTTTCCTTCTCGTCTCTTTAAGCATGTGGTAACCTATTTTGAATGAGAAACCTAGACGCGCGTCACTTAATTCTCTCTACATTCCGTCGCGGTGTATGATTATCGCGTATCACTTTGGTAAACTCGGAGTCGTTTAGCAAATGGCGACATAAATCCTAACGGTAGAAGAAGTTCATTTTGTCTTTATCTGGAACACCGTTTGGGACGATCCCATTTGCAGCATTTCGGCCGTGAACGCGCCGCTGAGCTCTTAAACCTCCGAGTAAGATCGCAATTACCGACCGCAATTGTTTCAGCGTCGAGAGCCATTATTACGTTGATAATGGTTTATTTCTGTTCCACGCTGAAGAGAGAAATAGGGTTACGGTAGTTTTTTTGTCACACATATAAACAATAAATGCACGGTAAGCGAAATATAGATATATTAAAGATGCTTCCGCGCGCGCACGTTTTTTTATACTCTCATATTCTTGTCTCGGCACGTGTGACGAGTGTTATCCTCGTCTTATGATACCGTCTGGGCAGTATCGACGTTTTTCTTTACTTCCACTCGCGTATCTGTTCCCGTCGCGCAAATACCTCTTCAAAATAAAAGCGCCGTGCGTGTCCCTTTTACTATTTTTAGGATTTATAAACGGTCTCAATAAAGTCGATTTCAACCTCAAATTTGCACCATCTCGATTTCTTCCAGAATTAGAATAGCGGTATAAAAAAAGCTAAGCTCTATTTTTTTCAGACTATTTTTATATGCGAAATTCAATAGCAGGAAAGTCTGTGATATATATATATATATCAAAGTTATTTTACCATTTCAACTTTTTTTTTGTTGCAAATAAATAGACACACAATTGAATCGAACGGACAAAAAGCGGACACAGACATTTCTTTTAATAGAGAGAGAAACACTATATATTTTTACGTTCTTTTTATATAGGCTGCGTTCCGAGTTACGCATATACGCGCATTTATCTATAGTACACGTCACGTATAATATAGATAAATGCGCGCATATGCGTAACTCGGAACGCAGCCATAGACATTAAATATCTAAGTTAATCGAGTTAGCGAAAAAATACGAATGTCGCGAGAGCGTCGAAATCGACAATCTTCGATAGTGATTTTTTTCTAATTTCCAGACCTCCCATCCGTCAGTAGCGGTAGCGATTCTCGAGGGAAGTAATAACAGTCTGTTTACAGTCCGATTATGAATACTTCCGTCTCAAATGGCAGTCTTTGACAGTGCTGAGATAGATATCGCGAAGACACTGTGTAAATGCAGATGCTCGAGCCATTATCTCTTATTATCGCGGGCCTCTCTTCGAACAAGTTGCGGATAATCGTCTCGATCGAAGATACGGAGATTCGATCTACTTTATCTGATCAATGCATCTCTCGTATATTTTTAGTAACGATCTCGGAATCTCAGCCGAATGATCTGCCGGCGAATCACACAAATTTCCATTATGTTCACTTCGGAAGAGATTAAATTAAAGATATAAGAGAGCGGGCAATATTGGCTCTCTTTAGATCTCAATCTCTGTTTAATAATCAGGAGAAGCGGATTTCCCATGTTCAATGAGATTCCTATAGAACTATCTATAGTAGTTATCTATAGTAAGTACTACGCGAAGCTTAAGCTTCCCCTCGGCTTGTTGCATTCTATATATCAATATGTTTCATGTATCGTTTCATCGCGATATATCAATGTTTCCCAACGACACGTAGGAAAAATGGGCGATAAATATATATATGCCACGC